CTGTTATTGGGTCGCCTACTCCATGTTGGTCGGGTGTGCGCTTCCCACGTCCTTAACATTGAATATATTGGGCGTAGGTCTATATGTCGATTAATTGACTCTTCGCCCGAGAGCCAAGCCTCCTTGAGCAGTCTGCCACTTTTTGTGCTGTCATTAGCAACCACTTTCACACCATCGAAGTCAAATTTATGTCCAGACTCTATCATGTGCGTTGCAATCTGGGAATATTGCTCCCCTCTTTTTATGGCCAGTTTGTGTTCGTGGATCCTTCTTTTGATCCTCTTTGAGGTCTCACCCACATAATTGCTGGAGCAATCATTACAGTTGATTTTATATATAACTCCAGATTTCTCCATCGTGGGGAGTGGGTCCTTAGGCCTCATAATGCATGATCGCAACGTCCGGTTGGGCTTGTGTGCCACCCTCACATTGTGGGGTGCCAACAGCCTGGCTGTGGCCTCCGAGACGTTATTGACATATGGGAGGGTGACACGTGCCGTCTGTGTTGGAGGGACCCCAGTCTGTAGACTATTGGGGAGGCTGGAGACTGCACCATGGCGCTTGATAAACTTGGTCGGATATCCGTTGAGCCTACAGACATGGAAGAGATGTTTTCTTTCTTCCATTCTAGCCTTGGCTGTGTTGCAGTGGGAGTCAGCTCTCTTAAAGAGAGTTCTAACACAGCTAAACTTGTGGACCACTGGATGATTGCTGTGGTAATGCAAAATCCTGTCAGTGTGTGTGGGTTTACGGTAGACCTTAGTCTTCAGGGTCCCATCTGATTGACGATGTATCAAGACGTCTAAAAACGCCAACTTGCCCTGATGCTCTTCCTCCTCCGTAAACTGTATGTCTACACACACTGAATTAAGTGCGTCCACAAAGTTGGTCTTCTGACTCCTTTTAATGATGACAAAAGTGTTGTCGACGTAGCGGGCCCAGAATTTGGGGTGATACCGGGCCATCGCTATGTGCTCCAACTGCTACAAAACAGCCTCGGCTATAATGCTCGAGATGGGAGAACCCATGGGGGTGCCCTTTATCTGCTCATAGGTGATGCCCTGAAATGTAAAATAGGTTTTCAAGCACAATCTCAAAAGGTCCACAAGGTCATCAGGGCGGAGGGAGTCCTGGTGCTGTCCTAATCCCTTATGATGGAGAAGATCTTTGATTGTTGTGACAGCTAGATCTTGTGGGATAGAGGTGAAGAGGGAGACGACGTCAAAAGACACCATCACCTCATCATCCTCTATCCTCAGGATCTTAATTCTATCCAGGAAATCCTCCGCAGACCTGACAGTAGTATGGCTGTCATTGACCAAATGGCCAAGGCGATGACTAAGCCATTTGGCCAAGCCTGAAGTCGGGGTGTTCCTAAACGAAACAATAGGTCGAAGAGGGACACCCTCCTTGTGGACCTTAGGCAGCCCGTAAAACCTAGCTACCGCCGTGTCAATAGGGCGTATTTTCGTGAGTGTCATTATCCACTCTCCTACTGCGCTTAAGGGCATTGAGCACTTTGTTGATACAATTTTTAAGGGTCACCATGGGGTCCCCACTTACGGCCCGTAGGCCGTAGTGTCTTTAAGTAACTCAAGTGCCTTGTTTACATAGTGCCCTCTATCCATGACGACTGTGGCCCTCCCTTTGTCAGCCGGTAATATGAGGGTGGTGTCATCCTCTTTAAGTTGGGCCATAGCTTCTACCTCTTCTTTAGATAGAGTCTGATGGTGTCTATGGTTCATAAGAAGCCCCGTCACCTGTTGCCTAATAGAGTCTTTAATTTCCTCCCCCACTCTAATATGATGTAAAGTGGGCTCCAACGCCGCCACAAAGTCCAGGGCGTGAGCATCCATAAGATTGCACCCCGCATCACACTGCAACAAAGCGAGCTGGGGCTGGGTCAGTGTCTTACTAGAGAGATTATAGACAAGTTTGTCAGAAGGATTGTCCTTACCATATTCTCGTAGTCCCTCAGTTCTATTCCGGAACTTGTTTGTTGCATGTTGGCTCGCATTCCTGGTAACCCAACAAACATGCTGGTCTAGTTTCAGGTAATGCTGGCTCGTGAGTTCCACACGGCACCTTTCTCGATGGTTCTGGATGCATTTCGTCAGGTTGCTATTATGTCTATGGAGGTCGTTAATAAGTGCCCGCATAGTTCTATGTTGGAATTGGCGGACTGCTCGGTGGCCTTCCAGGGAGTCAACGATGGGTTTTCTCCTTAACGATTTGGGAGGAAGGTTTTCCTTAATACAGCTATGTAGAAATGCGAGTTTGCAATAATTGTCAGAAACGCGGTGGGCAAGTCTCTCCCATCTCCTGGCTGCAAGCAGGACTGCTCTTCCATAGTTATTAAAAATAATGCTAAAAATAAAAGAGTGATTCCTGGGCGTACTCATATTAAATAACAGAACGTGATCACCAGGAAAGTATAAAACGTTAAACGTTTTAATAAAAAGGTAAAACCAAGCTTTCGTTGGCCTCTGCCAACATCATCAGGGTATAAACAGGTCAATGGGAAAAACAGTTTATAAACAAGCCAACGCCCGCGCTCGGCTTCTCGACCTCGTAACCGGTCCTGGCTGACCAATCATTGCATCCATCGTAACCCCCACACAGCTGGCTAATTTGTCCTCATTTTCCTTGTTGGTACGGGTGTCAGCGTTTATTCCCCGACCTCTCCGTGTCTGCAGCCCGAAGGGGCATTTGATCTTGCTCCAATCCAGCCTATATTTGCCGTCTTCAGATTGTTTCCCCCTCCCCTCTTCCTTAGGGCGTTCTAAATGAACGGACCTCACCCCTCCCCACCTTTTTGGCCTCCGTCAACATTCCAGTGATCCATGTTCCGGGATTCTATCCTAGATATCCTATGAACACTCTCACTACCTGGCTCCCTTTTCCCGGCCTATCTTCCTGTAGTTCCCACTATCATCATCCTTTACCATATCTACCCTCCCCTTTTTGGTGATCCCTAATCCATTACAGGGGCTACTCTGCAGCTCCTGCCGTCCGATCGCCGGAGCAGCAAGTGTCCTCAGAGGTGGTTGCTGCAACACCTCGTCCAGACGGCGTCTCTCGCCGTTCCCCCCCGCGGGGCTCAGTGCGGACCTTAACTCAATAGTTTTACTTTCATTACCCTTCGTTCGTTGCTCCATTCCTCGGGAGCGTGTAATCATTCTTGAGGTGGCGGGCTTGCCGTTGCTCTCTCCTAGAACGCTCCCGGGGGATGCGGCTCTCTTTAAGTGCGCCGGGTGTGTCAGGTATGGTGGGGGTCTCAGCTCATATGTTGTCGTTCCTCCGTCATTCAATATCTTTGCCGTTCTTCATAGGCACGAGCATGCTTCCAACACATAAGCATGTGAATTCATAGCTGTGGACGCCTCTACGAGGAGGGGGGAATTTTTACGGTTTTTTGAATGGCGGTTGCGTTGTGCTCCATTTGGCGCGCATAATGTCTTCTCCTCCAAACACTCCATACGACCAGGGGAGCTGTCTAGGTTGATAGTAGTTAGATCCTTGATCCTAGTGGGCTTTTTCATACGTGGCAGGTGCGTCTCTGTTCTCATGGGCAGAGGACTCTCAGATCGTAAGGCATCGTTTTCTCGGATGCCGGTTCTCTCAGGCGGGGGAATAGAATCGCTGTTATTGGGTCGCCTACTCCATGTTGGTCGGGTGTGCGCTTCCCACGTCCTTAACGTTGAATATATTGGGCGTAGGTCAAGCCAACGCCCGCGCTCGGCTTTTCGACCTTGTAACCGGTCCTGGCTGACCAATCATTGCATCCATCGTAACCCCCACACAGCTGGCTAATTTGTCCTCATTTTCCTTGTTGGTACGGGTGTCAGCGTTTATTCCCCGACCTCTGCGTGTCTGCAGCCCGAAGGGGCATTTGATCTTGCTCCAATCCAGCCTATATTTGCCGTCTTCAGATTGTTTCCCCCTCCCCTCTTCCTTAGGGCGTTCTAAATGAACGGACCTCCCCCCTCCCCACCTTTTTGGCCTCCGTCAACATTCCAGTGATCCATGTTCCGGGATTCTATCCTAGATATCCTATGAACACTCTCACTACCTGGCTCCCTTTTCCCGGCCTATCTTCCTGTAGTTCCCACTATCATCATCCTTTACCATATCTACCCTCCCCTTTTTGGTGATCCCTAATCCATTACAGGGGCTACTCTG